ACAAGGGACCAAGCCTCACATGGTGGCCAAGCCTTAACAAGGGACCAAGCCTTAAATGTTGACCCCAAGCCTCACATGTTGATCAATGCAAGCCTAACATGGGGTGACAAAGCCTCACATGGCAGCCAAGACTTCACATGCTTGCCAATTAAACCTACTCATAGTAAAATGTGCTTCAAGTAGTGATCAGGGCTTCACATGTTGAGTGAACCTGCCCACGGCGACCAAGTCTGCACGAGTTGACTTCTAATAAGCAACACCACAAATAATAGCTTCAATCCCTAAAGATCTAATTTAGTTAGGCCCTTGGCCTCCTTCCTGCGTTCTAATTTGGTGGAACGAATAGGGCTTTTAAGTTGTGACGTATTTCCGGGTCCAATCTTTTCACAAGTTATACTCRGGATTTATTCTCTACCTTCAACAACTAGATATATGAACAGAAAATCCTGCTATGAAAAAAAACTCAGAAAAATGTCTGTAGAAGTAATCATAATTTGGACCAGGAAGTCGTTTTTCGTTCAAATAACGTTACACTTAATAGCTCTATATGAAACGTCCATCATGATCAAATACCAGGAGCATGATTCAATTCATTCTTAAACTTTGATTCCGTAAAAAGAGTCCCCATCAACAGCATATCCTATTTAAAATGCAAAATTAACTTTGAAGAGGAATCGTATTTATTTTTTTAAATACAGTGGTTTTAAAACACAGACGTAAATATTAGTCGCCACTGTATTCACTGTCGCTCGTGGTATATCTTCCTCGTTTACTTCCTTTGCATTCTTCCGATGGAGAGGACGAACAAGTGCTGCTGTACTCATAGGAACCATAAGAACGGTGTCTTCCTCGAGTAGGTGATGGTATAAACTTTTCTTTCCTTTCTTCAGTTTTTCTGTTCCTGTTTTTATCTCTAGAACTAGATCTAGAACTTGTATCTTTGTTTCTTTTGTGTCTATTGTTTTTCTTTCCCTCCTGTTCCTTTCTCTTCTTCTCGTTCTCTTTCACAGCTTTGTCTTTTCCTTTACCCGCTCGCCGAGCTCTTTCTTGTACTTTATTTCCGGGCTTTCTTCCATCTTCTTTTATATGTCTCTTTGGTATTCTCTTTTTCATTTCCCGCGTTCCTGAAACTTCGCTATTCCAATTCTCGTCGAAACTATCTATATGTCTCTTTTTCTTTCCTTTGTTTTTCAAACCCGGGTGATTTAATTTCCCTTTTCCTTTACAAATATCTTTCTTTCCTGAAGGCTTCTCCCTTTTTCTTGGCTTCTTACAAGTTGAATTGTCTTCCCGCCCTCTTTTCTTCGTCTTCCTTTTCTTGTTTTCTTCGTCACTAAGGCGAGATCTCCTTATTAAAACAAAAACTGCAATTGACAAACTAAGAAGAACTCCTCCGATTCCAAGGTAAATGCCAAGGTTTTTAATTCCTAATCCGGATGAACTCAGAGGGATTATATCACAGTCTAGCGTATCTGAAAAGAAAAAAGAAAAATCAGAACATGAAAACTTTTACCATTGTTACGATACCGTACATCCCATTTTAAATACTAAAACGAGTTTTAAAAATACGTCTTTTCTCAATAAAAAAATTACATCATTTATATGTGTTTTATTAGTACTTTTTTAATCCCTAGGGAATATAGAGTGCCCCAAATAGCATTTTTTGACTATTTTTCCACGTACTTTTAATTTTGAAAAAAATTAGCTAAAAATCTTATATATGGATGAGCGACGAACGCCTGGTTAAAATCATGACTTTTACACCAACGGATTAAGCTCCATTTTAAACATTTTGAGCTGGTGTAAAAATCACGATATTGACCAGGCGTTCCTCGTCCTTTTTATACTAGATTTTTTGACAAAATTTTAACCCTTTTTCGAAAAATGAATGGAAACGCCCCCAATCCCAAGGGAATAGCCCATGGAACTTCCCAAAGCGTGGAAAACTTATAAATGACGGGTTTCAGTTGCAAAACTTTGGAAAAAAACGAAAAAACCACAACCCGTCATGCAAATGAGAGCGAGGAACGCCTGCTGATTTTCATCACTTTTACACCAACGGATTAAGCTCAAAATTAAACATTTTGAGCTGGTG